AGAGAGTTTAGAGAGAGAGAATTCAAAAATATAGTAAAGGGTATTTTCGTAATTGGAGGAGGCGGTGACTAGTAATAGGGGGGCGGTAAATAGCAATCCACAATTGAAAAATTACAACAGGAACCAGGGAAGTGTGAAACTCCCCCTCTAAAACCCAATAAGGTCAATACCTACAACAGTTAAAACATCAAACATTCTACAATATTATAAGAATCAAAAAGAAGAAGAATTTCCTCCACCAAAACTCTATGCTGAGAGTTAAAATCCAGAGATTTGTTCAACAGTTTCACTGCAGTCCCATTGTTAACATAACAAGTACCAGATTGGCCATGCACCTCTTGATATTTCCTTAAGCTCCATCTAACAGCCAGAAGCGAAGCTTCTGTGCTATCTGTACTCTCTGAGACACTTGCCAGCTTATCCTCCCAATGCAATTGATTGTTGAACTTATCCATGTTAATGCAGTTCACTTCAATCTCACTTTCTTCAAATGGTTGAGCACTGATGGCCTGGCCTTCCTACTCTCCCAGAGGCACCATTTAAAGTAAGCTCATCCCCTCTCTGCAGCTTAAATGAGTCCCATTCCAGCCAATCTGCCTGAGCTTTCCTCACAATGTCTATCTAATTGAACCAGTCTCCCTTTGAAGACCCATTTGTTTATGTCCTTCCATAAATTCCATAACAAATGCACAGTGTATGTCACCCTGTTCATCAGATTTGCAGATTTGTTCTTTGAGCAAACCTCCATCCACCATTGTTGGAAATTAACAGACTCACTATTCAACAAGTTCCAATCAACCCCACTAATCTTGCAACAGATTTTGGATTTTTGACACTTGAAAAACAGATGGGATAGATCTTCAACCCCTTCCCCACAGACTTTGCAAATGACATCTATATCAATCCCTTTTCTAACCAAGTGATCAGCTACCCCAATAAACCCAAACCAACACTTCCAGAGGAAGAATTTGATTTTGGGTTTGATGTTTAAATGCCAGGTAGTCTGCCACATTTTCTTCCACCACCTAGGGTAGCCACTAGAAGAAGCTTGTCGCTGACCTTTACCCTTATTATTGAGGATGGTTTGATAAACCGCTTTAGTAGTGAGCACCCCTTTTTTTATCCCAATGCCAAATTAACCTATCCCCCTTTCTCTGATTGGATAATGGGATCCTAAGGATATGAGCTGCATCTGTAGGATTAAAGGTTTTGCAGAATAAGCTCTTTATCCCAATCTCTACCCCCCTGCTTAATCAAATCACTAACCCATTGGACCCTACTTTTATCCCCCAGAAGCAGCATCTCGGTTTAAAAGAAGAGTTGTTAGGGATCCAAGGAGACTCCCAGACCCTAATGGACCTACCATTCCCCACCTCATACCTAGCAGCTAACTTAAGGGACTGTCTAGCACTCAACCAGCTTTTCCAAAGCCAAGAATCCCCATTCTTGGCTTCGACATCCATAAGACTTCTATCCCAAAAGTATTTTTCCTTTCATCCCTCTACTCACCAACATGTTAGGAGATGTTTGAATTCTCCATAACTGTTTAACCAGCTTTTCCTTAGACCCCCCTAAAAGTTGAAATGTCTTAAACGAGCTAAAATGAGTTGAAATTGACTTAAAGTTTATTGACTTAAATTGAGATTATACAAGTCGAATTCAAGCTAAAAATTTTATTTGTTTATTAAACGAGCTGAGCCATGAAAGCTCGTTTATTAAATGAGCACGAGTTTGAACTTGAAATACTCGATTCGAAAATTTGAAAAAAATAGATAGACACGTGTATAAAGAAGTCAAAGTATGTAAATAATCTTTAAATTTGATATAAATTACATGAATCACAAAATAAATAATATCAAAAAGCGATTGTTGCATTTGTAAAATAAAATTTATTTTACTTTCTAATTAGTCGTGTTATGTATGATAATGTCTCTCCTTTAACAAAAATTTATTAGTTTTTAACTACTCTCTTATACATGTGACAAATAATTATCCTTAATAGTTTCATTATTTTTATTTAAAAATTTAAATACAAAAATAAATTTTCTCATGTACTTGAATTTTAGTTAAAAAAAAAACAATATAATGTATTTAAATACCTACTATAAAACGGTGTAATGATCTCGTCATTCATGTTGTATGACATGTTCATTTAAAGTACACAAAAATTCTATGGAGCTATCGAATGGTTTTCTTAGGGAGTCATCCACCACTTAATGTATTGACACATGTTCAAACTGTATTTATTGCGGAACACATATCAATGCACCATTGGTAAATAAGTGTAAATGACTCCATAAGTCGAGTCATCTAATGGCTCCATAGCAAAACTTGTAAAGTACATATGTCATTTCATTAAACTTGTCAGTCAAATAAATAAGATTTAGTAGTAAATTTAGTATAATCAACTATTATTTATTTAAAAAATCAGTTATAAACTTGATTATGAAATTTATAAATTCAACTACATACTAAGTATGAATGTCTCACAATCAAATATTGAATCAAATAAAATGATTCAAATAAATTTTATTTAATCAAGTAGTAAAAATTAAACACAAAAATGATATAAAAGGGGCATAATAATCTAAACTAAAAAAGTTGAAAGAAACTTAAATCATGTTCAGATATATAATTTATTGATTTAATTTAAAAAAAGTTAAACTTATTTTGGATCAAAATTAGAATAATATTGGACTAATATAATATAACATGAGCTGAAAAAAAATATTTTACTGGTATAAATCTACATATAGTTTAAGTTAGTAATTTTTCATAATTTTGAACGAAAGATGAGGAAAAAAGAAAGATTGAGGAAATAAATTTATGTCTAATAAATCACGTCTATAATAGGAAATAAATTGATGCTTTTAAAAATGACCACACATATCTAGTATATTATGGCTATTTAGAATCTAACTAATTTTGGATTGGAATTAAATTAAAATTCATTAAGTCAAATAATAAAGCATAAAAATTTCCACATAGGATCCGAAATATGCGAGTCTATTACTTATGCTCAACACATTCGATGATTATATAAAGGGGGATTTGCGAACATTTTTCTTTAGTGTATTCGTCCCCACGCATATTTGAAAATTCATGCTAATAAATAAATGTTTGAATGAGTTGCAAGAACAATCGAAATATTCGTAACATAAATTAAAAAAATTGAATAAATTAACTAATTTATTGAATAATGTAAATTAAAAATGTTAAGTTTAAAATTTTAAGATATATATATATATATATAAATATATATTAAATATCAAGTTATTATTAATTATAACAAAATAAAATAACTAAATAAACAACATGATATCAAACAGTTTTATCTTATCACCTTTATATCTAATTTCATAATTGTGTTCAGTTTAAGTGGCAGCTCGCACGCTTCGTAATCTTATGTGACCAAATATTATACTTTGTAATGTGGCTTTGATAAGAATTACTAATTTTTTTATACCAAATAACTTAAGTTTGGAATTTCATATATACACATATTTAGTATTTAAACTATTCCATATAAATCTATTTATTAGCTTATTTTTATAATGTTTATAATATCTTACTTTTCGAATTTTTTGTTTTGCCCATATTATATTTTTATGTGTTTTAAATAAAAGTATTATAAATAAAACTAATGATATATATAAATTAGTTTTCAATTTTTTTTTAAAAAAATATTATTAATTCATTTAATATTTCATTATAAATTGTCACTTATTTATTCTTTCCAACTTCAACAAAATATAAAAACATTTTTTTTCTTTTATTTTTGTTTATACATATAATAATACTTTATCAAATACACAACATTTTTTTTTTCTTTTATTTCTGGTTATACATTTAATTTTTTATTAAATACACATATAGTACACGAGCATCATACTAATTTATATTATACACTAATAAAAAAAAGACTGAGCTCTAGAAAATTCCACTAAACCAGCTGAAGAACACATAAAATAAGCCTATTTATTATACACAACTTTCAACCCAACACATTACAGACATGAACACCCGATTTCAACGACAACCACAAGCATATTTATTTATTGATCAAAGCAAGTCAAATATATCATTTCATCGTTTCCTAAAAAAATAAAATAAAATAAAATACAAATAATATACACAGGAAGTCTAGACATAAATTACATGTCAACATACATATGGGGACTGGGAACCATTTGCCGTGTAAAAAATACAACACAAGACAGACAAACGGACCAAAGTAAAGCATGAATACATCACATAAGCCAAAAGAATATATATATATATATATAAGCACCCATCACTCTCTACCTGTCAAGTTCAACCACAGCCTCCTCCAACAGCTCCTCCAGCAAAACTCTCTCGATATCTTTTCCCAAAATATCCCTCTCCAACATCAAATTATCGACCCACCCTTTCCCCGCCACCTCGTTCCTCACCACCGTCTCCAACACAACTCCGTTTTCCTCCCCACACTCCACAGAGATGCACCCGCCCGAAAACCACGCCTCCATCCGGGCCCACACCTCATCCGGGCCCAGCCGGCTGCCCGCAAGCTCGACCAGGATTGCGTTCACGCAGTCGAAGACGAGCTTCTGCATGGACCTCTTCTGCCTTCGCTTAGCCTCGTGCATCATTTTCCTGTCGTTTTTCAACTCAATGTACGTGTCTCTCAAGGAAGGGTCCAGCGGACTCTCGGGCGAGTGCCACCTGGCGAAGAACGATTCCGAATCCGTCTGTGCCACGCCTTCGAGGCCCGCCACGGATAACAGTGTCCTCACAAATGAATACCATTCCTGCCCCTCGTCTTTTGTGGTTTGTGGATATGACGAGGCCGTGTCTAAGCTTGAGTCTTCCCACGATAGGGTTCGAGCTACGGAGCCTATAAGTGGTGACTTGTCAATCAAGTTTGATGAACTGAGAGGACTCAGTAACGACTCGTATCCTGAAATGCCAATTGACAAACCAATTATTTAAAAACTATAAAAAAGTTAGTATATTATAAGGTCTAGCCAAGTTGTGATACCGGATTATCTTCCATAATTACACAGCCCAATCGCCATGTGTATCTTTTAGTAAATTGCAGTGTCTAAAAGGTAATGGTTAATATTTTGCGATTTGTAGCATTTACGGTTACCTTCCAAAGAAACAACTAAAAATAAAAACTGCATAAATTAGGCAAAAGAGTGTACCATGTTGGTCGGGCTCGACATAATGTGGGAACACTGTTGATGTGCGTTCGTTTAATTCAAAGGGTGGATCTAAGACTGATACTGGGCTAGGCTGCTCCTGATTTTCACAAAGGTTTCCAGATGCAGCGGATTTCGACACATAAAATTGAGGCTGCAAAGGTCAAACATTAACAGATTCATAAAGTCTCCAGCTTTCTAGTTCAGAATAAAATAATTAGCTTTTTAGTGATTAGAAAATGGCACAAAGGGGATCATTGACCAATAGCATCTTACAATCAGGAATAGGCAAAATTGCATGGCAACAGCAGGTGGCAATTATTTTAACAGAATTAGGCATTTCCTTTGTGAAAACTAAAGAAAATCTCCCTGGCTACCTAATATGGATAGGCACAGAGAGAGATTGCTAATTTCATATATAGTTCAATTATTATCTTCAAAGCATCTACATGCCAAAAAACATAGGAAATCAAAGGGCACATTTTAGGCGAAAAAAGCTTGATTTCTTACTGACATACGAATAAATAAATAAATAAATAAATAAAAAGGAAAAAAAAAAAAAATTAGAAAGGAACAATGTAAAAAGGCTTCCCTAACTCAATTTCACATCTTAACAACCCAACCTAATATGTATAAAGTGAATCAAAATTTAATGTAACTATTTATCAATTAAAAGTTAATATAACTATTTATCAATGCACCCAAGTTTTACCTCAGGTGAAATCACGCCTGAGGAAGATGCTTTGCTCGATAACTCCAAAAGACCTGATGGCGAATGTTTGGGCACTTTCTCAACAAGACTTTCACTCCCACCACTGCTGATGTCCCCAAGAAAGGAGGAGCTGGAATCATCTTTGGTTTCAGGTTCAATAGGCTTATCCTTACTGCCCTTTTTATTCCTCGAGAAAAACAAACTCGAAACTTTTCCCTTAAATGATGACTTTCTACTTCTAGCCTTTGCGTCCCCTTTAGGAACAACTTCCAGTTTCGCCTTGTTCAAAACAACCGTAGTTTCCGCATAAAGCCTAGTCCCAAACTGAGAAGAAGAAACGGGAACAGATTTCGACCTAGTGAGATTTCTTGGTGAGTTGTCATCAACATCTTCAACAATCCTCTCCCCATTCTCTAAGAGATTACTTGAATCCTTTAATTTTTCATCAAATGCACTTTCTTTCACAGGTGCTATATCATTCTTTTTGTGTTCTGTTTCTGAAAGAGCAAGCATTTCGCCCAGCGTACTCGAGCTCCGGCGTATTTGCCTCTGTTCTTGACAGCTCCTATTAGATGCCATCAGGGCCCACCTTTCAGAGAGTCGCTTTTTAGCCTCTCTACAGACGGAGGACTCGGGCGAATAAGATGCCCGGCTGAAAGAGGACGAGAATGGGCTGCCTGGCCGGTTATGCACACAGTCCCACGAGTGCCGAGACATGGGCGAAGTGACTTCAGAATCGCTGAGGTCACCAGCCGGATACTCAATCTCCGATTTACCGAACGAGCTCTCCTCAGCCATGCAAGTGATGGATTCGTCCCTGTGGCGGCTGCCGAATTTCTCGCGCATCTGGCTCGCGATTGCTTTTGCGACTTTTCTTGACTCCCAATTCTCGTTGTCTTCTACATCCCCTAAAAAGCCTTCGCCATGTATTCTTGCCGACTGGGACCTTGGGGAGATGTTAGCCTTACTGTTATCGAGTATTTTCTCCAGGCTTGGTTTGAGAACAACTATTCGGGTCGGCTGAGTAGGACTTTCGTGATTTTTGGGTGGGGAATTTCTCGGATGAGGGAAGTCGCCTTTATCCAATTCTCTTTTCCCTTCTCTGTCTCCGGCCAAGTTAAAAGTGTCGGCAATTTTGGAAGGTCTGAGAACTGTGATACGCTTTGTCTCCGGGGGAGGAGGAATGGAATGCAGGCCGTAAAGCTGCTGAGAGAACACTTGACCGGGCTCCTCCAGGCACTTGAGAAATAAGTCTCTGTTGGAACTCAAAACTTCCAATGCATCTTGGAATTGCTTGGACTGGCGTAATCTTCCGTCCATGGACAGGCTTTTGGCTTCTAAAAATTTCCGTCGGACGAGAGTCATCTTTTTATCGTTTTCCATGGTATGTCTCTGTGGTTGCTCCCATATCTCGTAAATGTCTTTGTACTCATTTGACTCTCCATAATGAGAAAATCTTTGCTGTCGCTGCCAGTTTCTCACAGGTATCTCCGAATGACTCCGAGGGTTCCCCTTGGACGGGCTTCTGTTTGTTGCCGGTTCGAGTTCGGGATGAGGAAGGGCATCGAGCCCCATTAATTTCGCAACAAGATTGGGAGGGCTGCGTCTGGAGTCAACTTCTTTGGACATCTCATGGTCGATGAGCATCTTTATGGGCATCCCATTTGATTTTCGGTTTGGAGAGTAGCTCCTTAACCCATGTTCAATCTGCAAAGAACGAATGGAAAGGAAATGTTCAATTTTTAAACAAAATCTGTATAATATACTTGGTGAAATATTAATAGTTTTGAGAATTTACCCCTTCATCTACGACTGGATCAGGAGATAGGCTCAACCTTGATACGTCCGATCTGCTTTTCGAGATAGGGGAACCTGTAAGAATCCGTAGCTATATTGTAACTTGGCATTGCTTGAGATATACACTATTGGGTAAATAATTGCAGTTACAAATATAACTAAAGAAGATAAAAACGAAAGAACAAATACGGTACAGTTTCGCATGCCAAATACAGTATCCATAATTGCCAATTATTTTAGCAACCTAAGCCTTTCTCTGGAAGAATGCTAACAATACTGAAACTGGCAGCAGAATAGAAACGATACGGAAACTCAAAACATCAGTAAGAAAATTTTAAAAACAACATTTAAAAAGAAAAATGGTATAAGAAAGACTGAGCACCATCCCGGTGCGGTTTATCAGTTAGGAGCCTGTTTGGCGACACTCCAATATTCAACTCGAAGAGGTTCACCATTCTTCCCAGACATCCTGGATACGATTTTTTCCCGAAGTTTCTATTGTTTACATTCTGGGAAGTACCATTCATTTCAGTACCTGAAAGACACATAATTATTCTGGGTTAGCTACACAAAACTCTCTGCAACACTGTACTTGATGTGAAGAAGAAAATGATAAAATGAAGGATAAAACTAGCAACAACACAAACCAAGAAAAATGAGCTTATATTTAGAGAGGAAAAAGTTCTCCAAAGAAATGCACAACTGTTTGAAATGGAAGTAGCTGAAGCTGCACAACTTTGACTAATTTTCAATCATTGCCACCCAAATGAAAGTACCTAAAAATGCTTGCAACATCAAAAACAATAATTGAGGGAGAATGAAAGAAAAAATTAATGTTGCTTAAAGACATAGATTAACGAGGAAACTAAAAGCAAAAGTAACACGCGTACAACAAGAATAACAAAGACAGCACTTTTTCGTGGAACGAAGCAAAGCGAAGTTCAGTCCCTGGAGAGAAGAGGTAATTGAGTTCAGTCAAAGTTTGGTGTAATTGACCAGCAGTGAAGCATAACCAGTCAAAACCTAACGAACGAGTTGCCCTAACCCACCATGGGTAACGGGGGCAGCGGCGTCAGAGGCGGTGATAGGCCGTTTAGGTCGGAGGATTCTTTTGTAGGGGGAGGGACCAGAGCTCGACCTTAGGGAGAGGAAAGAAGCTGATTGAAAAGTTGTAGGTGGGATTTTACAGCAAGTTCCCAAGAAACCTCACATCGAACAATTGACAACTCTATACAATCCCTCATTAAACTTCACAATGCCGAACAAATTCTACATTAATGTGTAAGAATGTCATATTTTCTTAAAATTGAGAAAATATCAGGAGCAGAATCGCTTTTGCTTTTTCCCAATCGATCTCTCCTTCAGAACACACACTTGAGCGCTAAATCATATAATATGTAAGAAAAAAAAGGAGGCTAATAGAAGAATATCTAAAAGTATATGAGCAGTAAAAAGGTTTGTGCTAAAGCAAATATGGAGCATAAGCTACAGTTTACATAGCAAAACAAGCAGCAGTAAAGTAAATCAATTTCATTTCTAAGTTGCAGACAAAAAGCTTCGACGTTATTGAGATATCATGAGAGAGAAAAGCTGCAACCCGGAGCAGGCCAATAAGAAAACCATAAATCAGATTCGGTCTTATTTCTTCTATCTTTTTTTTTTACCTTCGGAGACTGAGATCGGAGGACGGGACAGAGAGACAGAACCACGAAAAAACCACCGCTGATACTCCGGGAAACGGTGGCCGAACTTTCAAAGGCGAACCTCCGACAATGCGAACAGGTGAATAGTCGGTGAGTTTCTCCTCTTTTATTCCACACGAACATATAAAAAGAAAGAAAATGTAGTCAAGCGTAATCAAGAAGGCGGCTTAAAAGTACTCTGAAATCTGGATTACCGGTGACTGTGTCACCGGAGATTCGCCGGAAACTTACAGAGTGAAGAGAGCGAAATTTCTCTCTTTCTCGTGAGTTTCACTTTTGCTGGCATCCACCGACTCTTTGTCGGACTCCACCTGCTTTTGTTTGTTCTGATTTTTTTTTTCTCTCTCAGTTACAAGACAAATTGGTGCAAATTAATGTGGAAACTGAAAATTAATTGTATAAGCCAAACCAATATTGGATAAAAAAAATATATCCCCATGTATGTAATTTTCGAATTTCCTCAATTTAAATGGAAAACTCGCACGCATTGAAATATTATTTATGATATTATACTATATATATATAAGTAAATAGGTTTGGAATATCTATATGTATACTATATATTTATGATATATTTTAAAAGCATTAATTATGTTTTAATATTATTTCCTAGTGTAAACTTGATTATAAGGTATCATTTTTTTTTTTTCAATCATTCTTTTAAAATTATAAAAAATTCATTAACTTAAATATAAATACTAATATATTTTTTCAAAAAGTATTTAAAATTCAATTGTTGTTATTATTATTTATTTTAAATATAATTTCTTAACAAGTACCCATGTAGTACACGAGTATTGTGTTATTGTGAATAAAAAATAGGAATAGAGTGAGATTTTTACATAATGGTTCATGTTACTTGGGCTATTAACTCAATTCAGGACCCGTTTTAAGTCATTACTATAGTCCATTGTTTCATGGGAAGCAAAATTGTACACGTGTATTGTACTAGTGTGAATCGAACAGTTACCTCTTTGTGCTCGTCATCCGACCTTACTAAGCATCATCCGCTCGAGTCTCGACATCCCCAGATTCGTGGATTGAATTATGGTCCGCATGCTCTCCTCCATACTTTCCAACCTCTCTCGATTCGTCATGGCGATACACGATTAGTAACTCTCAATAAGAATACCAATGTTAAGAATCGTGTACCAAACTCTCGATTTTTTTTAAAAATACGCGCTAACGGCCTTGGTTTAGACACGATTTGTGCTCGAAAACGAGTATTTTTTTTTCATATTTATTAACTTAATAACCATCATTCCCATACAAGTCTCCTAAAATACATGCACACCAATACATAATACACAAGACATAATTTAAACATTCAAATAATTAACTAGTCCTGTCATTGCCAACTTCTACTTAATTTCCAGGCCGTCGCGGCGCGGCGCGACACCTTGTCCAGCCCAGCCTCTACCCTCGTGACGGTCCCCGCGACCAAACTCGTGGCCCGAGCTCTTCTGCACTGTCGCGGCGCGACACCCTAGGAGGCTCCCAGACTCTGTCCTCATGATGGCCTCACGATCCTCCTCACGACGTGAGGCCTCTACCTCGTTGCGCTCGACCCCCTAATATGATGTCATTTGTTTTTTAATTTGTGCACGTCAAGCTCGGTTGTACGCATTCGACAACCCTAATGCCCATCAATATCTCAATGCACTACATCATGTAAGTGTGAAGACTAACATCTGAAACTGATAACACTCCTTTATTTTATGTAAAGCATCATTACCAACTTTTATACCTTTCTGCATAATAAGATTCAAGATAAGTTTATGAGCAACTAATATAACAAATTTGACATCCACAAAAACATTCAATCTTCAAGTTGTTTTCATATTTTTGCTAGAGGGACTACTTGCATTCTCATGACGGAAAGAGAAGGGTTCACATATCTAGCTAAAAAAAGACCACGGAGGATGATGTATGTAAAAACGTGTATAATATTACAATCACTATATATGTTCACAATCATATGTTCCTTCCAATAGTTATCAATCAATACATAAAAAGGTAGGGGTGGTTACTCCTAAACCACCACAAGACACATAAGAAGTGTCGCTCTCTAACTATATATTATATATAATTAAAAGAAAAAGAAAAGAAAGTGATGCCGATTTCGGCACACGTAAAAAAGGAATACAAAATTAAAGGTAATTTTGCATATTGAAAGAATTTGTCTAGTTCTAAATGATGAGAAACTTCCCAAAAATACCTTATATAAAGAATAAATATGTAGAGCATATTGAAAATATATATATATATATATATGTTCAATATAAAAAAATATGACAAATTTACACTGCTAAATTCGACAGTGGAAACGATGTTTTGCCATGCACAAAACAAGAACCAAACGCTGACATGCCTTAGCTATATGTAAGAATCCAAAGGCAGGATTCTTGAGGAGGTTTGTAGCGGGCTTCACGTCTAGGAAGTCCTTCACGTCTATCGAATTGGAAAGTTCGTTTATCGAGAATGGTATGATGTGTAATAACACACACACACGCACATCAACATGTTAGAAAACCATACCGATGAATGAATTGGAGAAACTAATATCACATATAATCTGCTCATTTTTGTTTACTATTTTTCTTTTTCAGCTGAATAATAACACTGAACATGTACAAATTGATATAAATGGGGGTGTTGATAATAAGCTCTAGGGATTTAGTTCATTTTTTCTTTATTCTCTCTCTCTCTCTCTCTCTCTCTCTCTCTCTCTCTCTCTCTCTCTCTTTCCATGTTGGATTATCAAGAGGCACAATTTGTGAAATTTACAGAAATATACGCTAACCACCTGGAATTGTCGTCCAACAAAAACGAGTTGCTGGCAGCATTACTTGACTCCTCGGTCATTAGGACCCTCATACTGGATATAACTTGTGATGCCGACGAGAGTGCGTTGGTATTTCTCGACACATATGATCGGCTCCGACCTTTAGTATGATTATTATTATTATCTTTATTATTATTTAGTTTATATTTATTTATGTTATGTTTGGGCTTTTATTGTGTTGTAGTTGACTTGTTGTGTTTGGGCTTTTAATTAATAACGGGTAGGACTTTGATGTATTATTTAAAACAGACGTATATTTGTGTACAGACAATTATGCTACTTTTCATCTGATTGAATTAACAAGAAACTGTTTCGCATGTTCTTCATGCAATTCTCCCATCTCATGCTTTCTGCTACATCATTTGGCATCAGTTAACCAAGACGATTCTCGATGTCGCCGAAACGACGAGATGACAATATTAGTGATCATCTTCAATGTATGGATGATCGGATGCAATTGATGGATACTCGAGTTACGAACATATCTACAGAAAATTGAAGTTATTAGTCTCACACTCGCTACCATGGTACGAGATCAGCCCGAGAAACGTGATTTCACCGGTGGCCGTGGCAGACGTGGGGGTCACAAAAACGACCGTGGTGGACGTGGGTTTAGCGAGGCCCCCACAACCGTTCCCACCGCCTCTGTTGGGCGACGATGATAGTGATGCGACCTGGTCGGACGGTAATCCCTTCGCTGAGGACTTTGACCGCGACCGGGATGTTGAAGCTCTTAACAGAAGGCACCAGGTAGAAGGGTTTCGCGACCCAGACTTTGCAGATAATCGTCGTGCACAAGACGGGTTCCAGTACCATAGCAATCCCGTTAATCGACGTGCAGGTAATTGACGCGATGCCCCAGGTCGCGATTATTAACGATTTGGCGACTGTGAGTTCAGGCGGATGGCTGTCGGCGGGGAGGATGCTCCTGGCTTGCCGCAACATGGCCGTCGAGGTGTTGTCCATTTCGATGATGATCGTGATGACGCCGATTTACATTGGCATTGTGAATTTGCTAGTGACAGGGTTCCTCCGGCCAACCGTTTTATTGGGCATGTTGATGGACTTCTCGACAACCGCTGGAAATTGTCTTTTCGGGTAGATATTCCCGATTTTGTCGGTGGATTAAATGCAAGCGATTTTACCAGAGGTTGGTCCTGCTGGTCGCCACTCGACTTCGGGGACGTACGATAGCTTGGTGGTTACAACTACATGGTTTGCGGCATGGCAAACCAAAAATCAAATCATGGTTGAAATTTCGTAAGTATCTTAAACGAGAATTTTTGCCATTTAATTTTGTCTGTACTTTGTATCAACGGTTACAAAATCTTCGACAAGGACTACGCAGTGTGAACGATTATATCGAGGAATTCTGTAAATTCCTCGCCCGTGTGGATATACGTCAGACTCCGGATCAATTAGTTTCTCGATATATTGGTGGGTTACATGTTTCTGTCCAGGATGTGTTGAATATGTGTACTCCGGCTTCTGTTTATGAGGCGCATCAACGGTCTTTACTAGTGGAACAACAGCAGACTCGTCGGCCGACTTCGTCTTTTTTGCCACCTCGGCAACCTTCGACTCATCCTGTTCTGCTCCGTCTGGTCCTCCGGTTGGGTGACGGGTTGGTGGAACTGCTTCTGGGGTAACATTCGCTAGACAGGTTCCCTGCGGTGTTTTTTTGTGGTGAATCGGGGCATCGCCAGGCCCAATGCCCAAAATCAGGGGGTACACGAGCTCTTTTGGTTGAGGTGTCGGAGGATATTGAGTACACTGGTCCCCCTATTTTTAACGTGGAGCCCGAGATTACGGAGGAGCACGTGACAGGTGATGTGGGGCATGCTTTGGTCCTTCGTCGTTCACTTTTATCTCCGCCTGTTGTCAGTACGAGTGCAGTTCAACGACATCATAATTTTGAGTCCACTTGCACCATTGAGGTCGAGTATGCCGTTTTATGACTGACTCGGGAGCTTGTGAGAATGTAGTCGCTTCAGATGCGGTGGAGAAATTGCATTTGAAAACGGACCCCCACCCCTAGCCGTATACCCGAGCTTGGACATAGAAGGCCGTTACGGTGGATTGTCGGGTGTTGATGGCCTTTCGGTCGGGTTGACGTACAACGACGAGATATGGTGTGATATTGTGCCGATGGACGCTTGCCACCTGCTTTTAGGCCGACCGCAGCAATTTGATCATGCTGTTCTTCATGACGGGCATCTCAACACGTATGGTTTTCTTTTCCATGGTGTTCGAATCGTCTTACACCCTTCATTATCTCGTTCGCTAACCGCACCACCAGCCGTCGATCCTTCACCCTCCTCTTCGTCTGTATTGTTTCTTTCCCAGTCTGCCTTTGTTCGTGAGATGATCGATGCTCTTATGGTTCTTCTTGTTGTCGGATCTCACTCGGTTGCGAATAACTCCTGCCTTGATTCAGCCTTTGCTTCAGGAGTTACCTAGTGGTTTATCGCCTTTACGAGATATTCAACATCATATTGATTTGATGTCGGGCACTTCTTTGCCCACTCGCCCACATTATCGGATAAGTCCAGCAGAGCACGAGGAGCTTCATTGTCAGTTTAAGGACTTGTTACAAAAAGGGTCTATTCATAGGAGTCTCAGTCCTTGTTCAGTGCCGGCTCTCCTCATTCTGAAGAAGGATAAGTCGTGGAGGATGTGTGTTGACAGTCGTGCGATAAACAATATTACGATACGTTATCGTTTTCATATTCCACGATTGGATTATTTGTTGAATCAATTGCACGGTGCGACTGTGTTTTCCAAATTAGATCTTCGGAGTGGTTACCACCATATTCAAATCGGCCAGGTGATGAATGGAACACGACTTCTAAGATTCGAGAGGGTTTGTACGAGTGGATGGTTATGCCCTTTGGTTTGTCTAATGCTCCGAGTACTTTTATGCGGGTGATGAATCAAACTCTACGTGACTTTATCGGGAAGTGTGTCGTCGTTCAGTTGAGGAGCATTTACATCATGTCCGTGAGGTACTTATTTTACGTGCGGAGTCCTTTTATGCCTCTTCAGGCAAGTGTTCTTTCCTTGTGGATTCTGTGTTGTTTTTTAGATTTGTTATATCTTCGGATGGTGTTCGTGTTAATGAGAGTAAGGTTGCTGCTAGTCGGAATCGGTCGAATCCTACGACATTCACTGAGGCTCGTAGTTTTCACGGTATGGCTTCATTTTACCGGCGTTTCATTGCTCATTTCAGTTCTATTACCGCACTTATTACTG